TAGAGAAAGATTGTAAACCAATACTTGGCCAGTCCAGTATCGTAGTTACTGGTCACATGTGGCTATGATCATGTAAATTTAAATAATTTAAAATTAAATGAAAAATCCAACTCCTTGTTTGCACTAGCCGTTAGCATTTTCAATGCTCAAGAGTACATATGGCTAGTGGCTACTTTATCGGACAGCTCAGACACAGAACACTTCCACCATAACAGAAAGTTCTACTGGAGGGCACTGCTCTAAATGTTTTCCGATGATCACACTAACTTTACAGATACTAGCACTCTCTAGTTATGTAGTCCTTCTTTCCAAAGTTGATGTTGAAGGGTTTCCTTCTGTTGATATGTTTTCTTTATATTCAGTTATGTAAAAATGTGATTGGGGTTTGTTTAGTGACAGAGCAACGATTAGCATATTTTCACAGCTGCTGTTAAAGGCATAGCCAAAGCACAGAAGCGCTGTCGCTGCCAAAGCATCTACACTTGGCCACATTTATTTGGGTTTTTGTATGCCTAACTTTTCCTCTAACTTTTTTGTTAAAAATATTGGAGTATTCCCAAATCGACAAATTCCCTCGCTTCTTGCTCCAAGTGTAGATTCCACTGTTGGCCACTAGGTGGCGATGGGATCCTATTTAATACTCGAGCTTTAAAGAACATTTAACATTCAGATCCTTGGAATGGGTAATCTGGCTTTTTCCTCAAAAAAACACTTAGAACATTACTCATCAGGATTAAAAATCCCAAGTCTCTGCCATACGTAGTGACATGGAAAAGCAGTGGAAATGCACAGTGACTGAATATCTATCTCATCAAATGCCAGACCCTAGAAGCCTCTTGCTTCTACCTGCTACCAGTGGGTTCTTCATTTTTTTTTTCCCTCCTAATTTAATTTTAGAAAGATAAGCTGTATGTTATATTCTTTTATTCTTCTTTTAAAAATATTTTTAATGTTTATTTTTGAGAGATAGAGAAAGAGAAAGCAGGGGAAGGGTGGAGAGAGGGGGACCGAAGTGGGGACCGAAGTGTGTTTGGTGCTGACCACAGAGCCTGATGTGGGGCTTGAACTCATGAACCATGAGATCATGACCTGAGCCAGTCAGATGGTTAACTGACGGAGCCACCCAGGCACCCCTGTCTGTGATTTTCAAACTAAGAAGTACCTTTCCCCCACTCCCTGCTTTGAGTCCTCACTCACTTGATGCAAGAAAGAACCCTTAAACTCAGAAGAACTGTTCAAATAAAGCATCAATGTAGATAAAAAGAGGGAAAAAAAAAGAGGAAAGGACAGAAGTACTAAGTAATTTACTTGTTATAAAAAAAATTACCTATTATGTTTCCACATGACAATCCTCTACCCTCAAGAGGGCAAACTTCAGGGGCGCCTGGGTGGCTTAGTCGGTTAAGCGTCCGACTTTCGCTTAGGTCATGATCTCGCGGTTCGTGGGTTCGAGCCCCGCGTCGGGCTCTGTGCTGACTGCCAGCTCAGAGCCTGGAGCCTGTTTCAGAGTCTGTGACTCCCTCTCTCTCTGACCCTCCCTTGCTCATGCTGTCTCTCTCTCCTAGAAATAAATAAAAATATTTAAAAAAAAAAAAAAAAAGAGGGCAAACTTCAGAATGCTACCCAATGGTTAGAATTCTGAGTTAACTCACAGCTTTATGTTTCTCCTCTGATGATACCATGTTAGGAGGAATTGTTGACCAAACAGAAAATCAGGGAGACCTTCTTCTCCTTGTCAAACCCTAAATTAATGTATTGGTGCTGCTTTATAAGCAGAGGGTAAACTAAGTCCCTTTTAATTATGATTCAAGATAACATACATATATATGTATATATTTTTGCAGCTGAAACACTGCTCATATTTATTAAAAAGGCAAAACATAACGCATCTTTAAGGATCCAGAAGATAATATTAAATTAACTATTATATATTATAAATGCTGGTTTATCATCCCTCTGCTGACAAGGTTTGTTCGTTCATTTCTTATCAAATTCCCAGGGGCACCTGGGTGACTCAGTAGGTTAAGCCTTCAACTTCGGTTTAGGTCATGATCTTATGGTTCATGAGTATAATTCGTGACTCATGAGTTCGAGCCCTGCATCAGGATGTCTGCTGTGAGTGCAGAGCCTGCTTCAGATCCTCTGTCTCCCTCTCTCTCTGCTCCTCCCTGGCTTGCATGCATGCACTCTCTCAAAAATAAACATTAAAAAAATCTCAAATAGTGAAGTGTCTCCTTTTTTAGGCAGGTGCAGACAACGAGAGTCTCATTCAGAATCAAACTCTTTGGGTGTGCAATTCTTTGGATTTCTTCCTCTGTTTTCCAAGATGATTGACAGTGGATATACTGAATTACAACCTCACTTTCTCATTTAGGAGAGAGAGTTGGGAAACCTATACTCTCTGCTAGAAATATCACAGACTAGAAGGCACGAGTCATTTCTCATGGCATTGAAAACAATGTTTTGTTTTGAAAACAAAAACCAAAAAACTTCAGAGAAAAGAATACTTTCATCTTCATCCTTTGTTTATACTTCAGCTTTTCAAAAACTGTTAAGTCCTGGGGCCCTTGGCTGGCTCAATTAGTGGAGCGTGTGACTGTTGATCTTGGGGTCATGAGTTCAGGCTGCATGTTGGGCACAGGGATTACTATTTAAAAACTGCTTAAATGTTAATGGGATTTGTGAAACATTTGTAATAATAATTTCACATCATAATAACAAGAATGAAAAATAATTATATGAATTTGGGTGTATGTCTTCTGCAGTAACCCATGTTTCCAGGAAACTAGGATTTAAGGGTGTTTTCTGTTATCAATGTATGTCTTTCTTTGATAAAAATGGAGACTTCTGCTACTTTGAAAATTGTCAGCAAAATGGATGGTTTGTCCTTGTGCAGAAAAGCAGTAACATAGTAGGCCCGCCTCCATCCTTTGAAAGATCTGCTTACAAGGTTGGCCCCTGCCTGGCATCTGGGAACTTGGATTTTGAAAGGGTTCCCACCATTCCCAGACTCGTTAAGAATATGCCTAAATTGTGTCTAAACTGTATAAAAATATGGTTTATGCCGAACACCTGTTTTCCTTCTACAAATCTGGAATTTTGGAATGTGCTAGGCAGAGGGTGCCTCCATGACCAGGCCCCAGTAAAAGTCCTGAGTGCCAAGCGCTGAACTTTCCTGGCAGACAGTATTTCACACGTGTGGTCACAGCTCACGGCTTCAGGAATTAAGTGCATCCTGTGGCTCCAATGGGAGAGGACTTTTGGAAGCTTGCACCTGGTTTTTCTGGGCTTTGTCCCATTTGCCTTTCCCTTGACTGACTTTGCTTCGTAAATTTAGACTGTACTAAATCACAGCCATAAGTACAATTATATGAGTCCTCCTAGTGAATCACCTAATCTGGGTGGTCTTGGAGACCCCTGAAAAGGCCCCTTATTTGATCACAAGATGGCTATCTTGTCATATTTAAGATCACCAAAAACTGACTTATAGTCATAGTTTGTGATGATATTTGATCAGACTGGGGACACCCAGATGGCTGAGTATGCTGGCCGTCTGACTTTGGCTGGGGTCATGATCTTGCAGTTTGTGAGTTTGAGCCCCACTTTGGGCTCTGCGCTGACAGCTTGGAGCCTAGAGCCTGCTTTGGATTCTGTGTCTCCCACTCTCTGCCCCTCCCCACCCCCGTCAATCTCTCTCTCAAAAATAAATAAACATTAAAAAAACTGGTTTTACATAGTCACATGCAAGAAGGTCAGTTAAGAAAGGAAAATTGTTTAAGCTTGGTTAAGGCCCTGTCATTTTTGAAAAATGATACTAATCTATGAATATTACAGGACTTAGAGGTTTACTGATTACTATTATATAAAGTTTGGGCTTAGGTGGCACACCATGCCATGAAATGACTGAAGCAAATATGATATCTGTCTTGGTTTCAAACACTAACTAAAAATATTTATAAAAATCATAATAAACTGTATTCTATAAAGCAGGCCTATGTCTGAAAAACCTGGTATGCACATATCTTTGACGCTTTTGAAACTAGAGATGTACCTCCTACAGCATGACTCAGAGGGAGAGGAGTTTAGGTGATCTGATAAACATGGAGTCATGGGATGGGGTAAGTCTGTTTCTATACCTTGATATGAATAATATAAAGACAAAAAAGAACGTACTGCACCTGTTATTTATCATTCTGATCTTTGTTGGTTTTTACACTTGGAAAGCATATTCTTTTAATGTTTATTTTTGAAAGAGAGAGACAGAGCATGAGCTGGGCAGGGGCAGGGAGAGGGACACACACAGAATCCAAAGCAGGCTCCAGGTTCCAAGCCATCAGCACAGAACCAGACACAGGGCTTGAACCCATGAACTGCGAGACCATGACCTGAGCTGAAGTCAGATGCCTAACCAACTGAGCCACCCAGGTGCCCCATTGGGAAGCATATACTTAATGATTGACATGCTTTATCAGTCCTATATGAATGGCAATGGCAAAATCCAGGCTCAGTGTCTGTTCCATCTGGGGTTTCTAGGAATAATGGTTCCACCCCTCAACTGGTGAAAATGCAGAATGAATTTGGTCTTCTACAATGAAGTAAAGCAAATTTCAGGAGGTCCTCTATCCGTTGCTCTCTTACTGAAGAAGGAGAATTAATCACCACCAAGAAGTTTATTTCTCCATGCCTGGGTAAAACAACAATGACCTGTCCAATGATCATCAAACCCTTCAACCATAAGGATGGCCACATGACCATCTCTTTCTTCTCAAAAAGAAAGAACAACACTATTGGATTTAGATGGTTTATGTTCCTCAGGAAAAGTCCCTCAATAGACTGGAAGAACCTGAGAAAGAGTAAGTACATTGAATTAAAATGTGGACACTCAGAAACTGGCATCAAGTGACACAATTTAGCCGTAATATCCTTTTTGGAAGTGGGAGGTTGCTGGACAACAGGAGTGTCAGAACCGCTTGTTCCAAGGCTACATGTGATATTTGAGATCAGTTCAGGATTCCTGTGAAGAAGAAGAAGAATTTAAGGGGTGTCTGGGAGGCTCAGTTGGTTGAGTGTCCAACTTTTTATTTCTGCTCAGGCAATGATCTCACAGCTTGTGAGTTAGAGCCCTATGGCGGGCTCTGCGCTGATGGTGTGGAGCCTGCTTGGGATTCTCTCTCTCCTTCTCTCTCTGCCCCACCCCCATTGTGCTCACTCTCTTTCAAAATAAAGAGATAAATGTAAAAAGAAGAAGAAGAATGTAAAACAACCTAAGCTCAAAGACTATATTCCTTTTCCCTCTAGAGTCCCAGGAGAGAAAAATATTATAGAGAGTGGCTGAATGTTGGCCTAAGAAAAACAGAAGAGTTTCTGGAGCTTCTTTCAGCAATGGGGCAAAGTCATGCTTTGTGGCCACATCCACCTACAGATGAAAATGGGACCAAGAGTTGGGGGCAATTTGACTCAACTTGAAAAAAAGGAGCAGCGTCTGAGAGTTTCTCCTCAGTCTCAGGGCACTGCCTATGACATGGCCTAAATGTAGCATCCTCACTGAATGCTCCCAAACTTATGTTGCAATTAAATGATTTCCATCCCAAGAAGGAAGAAGGGAGCAGAACTACCACCTGTTGGCTGAAGTCTCTGTTATCCTGAAATGAAAGTAAGAGGGAAGATGAATTTGGTCATTGAGAGAATAAAGAACATCAACACATTAGAAAATTATCCAAATGTGTGCACCGTGGTCCCCATGTCACTGGGAATGAAAGCAGGACCCACTCTATGGGTGTGAGTCTACCCCAGGCTTCAGAGAACACCCTGCAGAATAGGGTAACCAGCAGCCTCAGGTATCTTACTGGGTCAGATTCAGTGTAGCCATCTTCCTCCCTACAGGCTGTCTTTGCCTTAACAGAATCTGATTTCAGTGGCCTCTTTTGCTATGTTGTTTTGTTTTTTTGTCATAACTTCATCACTGAAGAATAGGAGAGTGAGACAGTGGAAAGACAGTAAAAACCACTTTCCAGAAGTTTCTTATTACCTCACTGGCTTCTAAAACAGAGAATGAAGCTCACTCCGATGGCCATGAGCCCTAGCATGAAGACTCCGACTCCAGCCAGCATCAGACTGTGCCTCTGGGAAGAACAGAACTCAGGGTCAATCTCGCCTTCATCTGCCACAATCCCAAAACCCTGTCTGAGGCCTGGACTCTGATCTAATCCACGCGGAGAGAAAAAGAAGAGGATAAGGCCAAGCTTGGAGCCACTATGGAGAAGGAGCAGAGGTGGAAAGCACTCTAGAGTTTTGGGCCTCAGAGTGATGACTTCCACCGGAGGCAAATGCTGATTTTATTCAGCCCATTAAGTCCAAGCTTAAGGGACTGAACAGAGACTGAAGAGAGAGGCAGTTCCCGTGTCTGAGAACCAGTCATGAATGCAATTGCCTTTCTCAGTTTTTGCTTTGACAAGGAGAGATTCTTCAGACTCGCCCAGGGCAGGACAAATGTCTACTTGAATCACCACATCTTCACTGCTCCAGCAGAGATGGTGGTTAGGTTGATGAGGAACAATATGGGGTGGTGTGACCCCAGTGCATAGTGACACAAGACAGAATGAGCAGACCTCAGAGCCTGGAGTCCAGAGGGTCATCGGGGAGCAACTCACTCCACTCCACGGTGACAGGGCTGTCCAGGCTGGGGTGTTCCACCTGGCAGGTGTAGACATCTCCCTGCTGGGGGGTTATTTCCAGCATCACCAGGATCTGGAAAGTCCAGTCTCCGGTATGGATCGGGTTGGTAGATAAAACCCCAGCTGTTTCCTCCTGTCCATTCAGGAACCAGCGGACTTGAATGTGGCCAGGATAGAAATCTGACACGTGGCAAACAAGCAGGCGGTGGTGCTGCAGGCGCCCCTTCTTGGAGGGAGAGATGTTCACGGTAGGCTGGACTAGGAGGGGACAAGAATCTTGTTATGACAGCTGCGACCCCAAAGCAGTGCATTTAGCGATTTTTTAAAATCCAAATGACTTCTCAGATGTTAAACATGAATCATATCTATTAAGGTATTTAGAGGCCAAAAATGAAGAACATAGTAGGAACAACAGAATGAAACATTCAGCTGTTCTAAGAATGACCTTGTCATACTCAATAAAGAAAGAGCACAGAAGAACAGAAGAGGGTAAAGTTGGTGCTAACACTTTGCGCTGGAAATGTAAGAGATAGTAACTAACATTCTTTGAGCAGAAATGTTGAACAGGCTATGCCTTGAATTTATATTTACTCATCTTGTTCAAAAGAATGCATAATCCTGCCAAATATTATCTCGGAATCAGGATATATTCAGTCAATAGATTCCTTTGATCTTGCAGTCTGATATTTTCATTAAAAAAAAAAAGGAAGACAAAATGAAGTAGCTTAATTTGTTTTTCATTTTAACCTATATGTCTCCTAGCCTCTTCTACCAGGAAAAAAAGTCTGTAACAAGATTCACAAACCCAATGTTTTTCGCTCTTTCATGTTTGATTAGCAGGGAGTCTGGCCCTTTTCACGCTGATCTTGGCCCCTCTGTATTGTGACGGGCTCTGAGACCGGGTGGGGGGCCTTCCTCCTCCTCTGCTGCCCAAGCCCACCCCCTTCCAGAGTCGGCACCTTCCCACCTGACCCTCACCTCTGCGCTGCAGCGTGAAACCCTCGTCCAGCTCGAAGTTGTGCTTGCACACCGTGTCCACTGCGTTCTGCCTCAGCGCCAGGAACTCTTTCCGGATGTTCCAGTTCTTGGCAGTTACGAGGCCCAGCTCAGACACCGCCACAAACACCCCCGCAGCACTGTCACTGTCGAACTGGACGAACAGCTCTCTGTTGTAGATACACTGCTCCAGGAAGCGGTGCGTCCCATTGAACTCATAGCAAGTACTCCGCCTCTGGTAGATGTAAAGCTCTATGAGGAGTAGACTATGAGGTTAGTATCAGAATGGATAGGAGAATATGATAATGAATAGGGGGGGTGAGGAAGGGTTTCTTAAGCAAATTTGAAACATGAGGCAAAAACAGAATGAAAGGAATTACAGTAATTTTTAATACTTCAGTTAAGCAAGGGCCACCACTAAGAAGTTACTAGGGAATAGAAGTAGACTATTGGTATAAGTTTGTCTTCCTGTTTCTCTACTCAGAACTCTTTTTAAATGTGTTTTGTTATTGTAGCACTTTTTAGAATGGAAACTATACTTGAACAGTTCCAAACTGTACAAACTGTATGAAGCTTCTCCTCTCAGTGAGTTTCGTATTTCTATGTGGAATCTCATATCTTGCAGCGTCCTGTAAATAAAGATTAAATTCCACCCTTTTAAAAAAAAAAAAAAAAAAGAAGTAGACTTGCGATGTCTACAATTGACATGGGATTCATATCTAAAATATATAAGCAACTCCTAAAACACATGCAAAGTAAAGGACTGTGATAGAGAAGTAGGAAAGGAGTGAGGTGATTTATAGGAGAGGAAACTTGCAAAGCAGACTGTGGTTCATCACTGGAAAGAAAATCGAAAATTTAGAAGGAAATGAGGCTGAAATCTATCAGACTCAGAACATGTAGAGAGCTGGGTTCTTCCAGACTGGTGCCTGGGAGTATGAAGAAAGCTCACATATTGTTTGGTGGAGTGGAGCCACCTCAGATGGTCAGAATAGCACTCAGGGGACACTCGGTCAAATTGAAGAGATATATGTCATATGACCCAGCACTCCCACAACTTGTTACACGTTGCTGCTGGCTGTGAAATTGATTTTGTATTTGTGAAATTGATGAGTTGGCAGAAGTCAGTCAGTGTGATCATCCCTGGGACAGCAAATACTACTTTTGTCCATGTGCACCATGGAATATTACTCAACCCTTAGAAGAAACCAAATGATGGTACTCTTCACTCCCTTGACAGATCTTATTGTTATTATGCTGAATGACAGAAAAAGAAAACAATATACTTTATAACATCAAGTAGGAATGTTAAACATATAGGCACATGAGAAATATATATTTTGGGAGAATGCATAGGAACAAAAACTATGTGGGAAACCCATTAGAATGGGTAAGTGTGGGGCGCCTGGGTGGCTCAGTCGGTTAAGTATCTGAGTCTGTATTTCAGCTCATGTCATGATCTCATGTTCATTAGTTCGAGCTCCATGTGGGGAGCCTTCTTGGGATTTTCTCTCTCCTTTACTCTCTGCCCCTCCTCCACTCATGCTTGCTCTCTTTCTCTCTCAAAATAAATAAATAAACTTAAAAAAAAAAAGGGTGGTGCATTCTCTGTGTGTTCTAGAATCTTATCACAGTGATCACATTAGGGACACACAGACAGTATGATTTTTCCCCCCATGTCTTGTGCTGTTCTTTACACTTGAACATTTTTAAGCAAGTTATTCTTTTGTTTATATCTGTATACAGCATCTAACAGTGGCCTTAGAAAATACTTATGAGTCAGAGAATGAGCAGATAATTGATTTTGTTTTTAAAAAAAATGTTTCCAGTTTTATTGACATGTATTTGATAATAAAACATCATATAGGGGCGCCTGGGTGGCTCAGTCGGTTGAAAGTCTGACTCTTGATTTTGGCTCAGGTCATGATCACAAGATTGTGGGATCAAGCCCCACACTGGGCTCCATGCTGAGCATGGGGCTTGCTTGGGATTCTCTCTCTCTCTCTCTCTCTCTCTCTCTCTCTCTCAATCCTCCTCTCTCCCTCCCCTGCTCGTGCACGTTCTCTCTTTTTCTCTAAAATAAAATTTAAGAAACCATGCGTATTGAAGGTATAAAAACTGATTGCCTGACACATGTATACATTTTGAAATATTCATAAGCCAAATGGCATATTCACCATCTCATACAGTTACCAATTGCCTTTTTTTCTTTTTTTGTAGCGAAAACACCCAAAATCTACCTTCTTAAATTTCAAGTACACAATACAATATTGTCAACTATTGTTGACAGTCATGTTGCTGTACATAGTTCTCTAGAACTTATTCATCTTGCATAACTGAAACGTAGTACTCCTTGAAAAATATCTCCCCATTTTCCACCTCACCCAGTCCCTGGTACCATTTCTATGAATTTGACTATTTTAGATTTCACATACAAGTAAGATCATGCAGTACTTGTTTTTTTGTTTTTTGTTTTTTTTCTTTTTTACATCTGGTCCATTTCACCGAGCATAATATCCTACAGGTTCATCCATGTTGTTGCAATGTAAGGATTTCCTTCTTGCTAAAGGCTGAAGAGTATTTTGTTGTGTATATATGCCACATTTTCTTTATTCATTTATCTGTCCATGGACATTTAAGTTGTGTCCATATATTGGCTATGTGAATAATGCTGAAATGAACATGGAAGTTTAGATATCTCTTCGAAATCCAGATTTCATTTCTTTTGGATATATGCCCAGAAGTGGGATTGTTGGATCTTGGACCATATGGTAGTTCTAATTTTACTTCTTCTTCTTCTTATTTTTTTTTAGAGAGCAAGAAAGTGTAATCAGGAGAGAGGGGCAGAGGGAGACAGAGAGAGGGAGAATTTTAAGCAGGCTCCACACTCAGCGGCCCCTGGGATCATGACCTGAGCTGAAATCAAGAGTTGGACATTCAACCAACAGAGCCACCCATGCACATCTATTTTTAACTTATTTTTGAGGAACCTCCATTCTGTTTTCCATAATGGCTGCACCAACTTATATCCCCACCAGTGGTGTGCAGGGTTATCTTTTCTCCACATCCTAGAATCATTAATCTTCTTCCATCTTTGTGATACTAGCCATTCTAACAGGTGTGAGATGGTATCTTAATGTGGTTTTAATTTGCATTTCCCTGATGATTAGTAAAGTTGAGTACCCATAGGTGTGAGATGGTATCTTATTGTGGTTTTGATTTGCATTTCCCTGATAATTAGTAAAGCTGAGTATCTTTTCATATACATCTTGGCCAAATGTATGTCTTCTTTGGAGGAATGTCTATTTAGGTCCTTTGCTGGTTTTCTAATCAGTTTTTTTTTTCCTATTGAGTTGCATGAGTTCCTGTATTTTGAAAATAAATTTAGTAAATTGCTTGTTAGTTTAATGCAATTTTATTTGTTTTTGCTTATTGCCTGTGCTTTTGATGTCATATCCAAAAAATTATTGCTCAGACCAATGTCAAGAAGGTTTTCTTCTATGTTTTCTTCTAGGAGTTTTATAATTTCATATTTTACATTGAAGTCGCTAATAATTTTTGAGTTGATTTTTACATATGGTATGAGATAAGCATCCTATTTTATTATTCTGCATGTGGATATCCAGTTTTCTCAGCATCATTTATTGAAGACTATCTTCCCCCATTGTATGTTCTTGGCATTCTTGTTGAGATGTGTGGATTTATTTCTGGGCTATTATGTTCCAGTGCTCTATATGTCTGTATTTATGTCAGTAGCATAGTGGTTTTTTTTTTAAAGTTTATTTATTTATTTTGAGAGAGAGAGAACAAGGGAGGGGCAGAGAGAACAAGGGAGAGAGAGAATCCTAAACGCTAACAGCACAGAGCTTGACATAGTGCTCAAATCCACAAACTCTAAGATCATGCATGACCTGAGCCCAAATCAAGAGTTGGACACTTAACCAACTGAGCCACCCAGGTACCCCAGTATTATACTGTTTTAATCACTAGAGCTTTGTAATATATTTTGAAATCAGGAAATGTGAGGCTTTGCTCTTCTTGCTCAAGATTGTTTTGATCATTCAGAGTCTTTTGTGATTCCATATGAACTTTAGTTGTTTGTTCTTTGTCCATAAAGAATACCATTGGGGTTTTGAAAAGGATGGCATGGACTCTGTATATCATTTTGGGTAGTATGAATATTCTTCCAGTCCAATCTTTTCATTTACCTCTGTCTTCTTTGATTTCTTTGGCAAATGTTTTATAATTTCCAGTGTACATGTCTTTCACCTCTTTGGTTAAGTTTATTCCTAAGTGTTTTATACTATTTTGTTGCTATTGTGAGTGTGATTGTTTTCTTAACTTCTATTCAGATAGTTCATTGTCTGTGTATAAAAAGGTGTTTGATGTTTGTATGTTGACTTAATATCCTGCAACTTTACTGAATTTGTTGATGAATTCTAATTGCCTTTTTTTTCTTTTTTTTAGTCTTTAAGGATTTTCTGTCTATAATAGCTTATCATCCACAAACATAGATAATTCCACTTCTTTTCTGGTTTGGCTATCTTTTATGTCTTTTTCTTGTCTAATTGTTCTGGCCAGAACTTCCATAACTATGGAAAAGAGGCAAGAGTGGACATCCTTGCTTAAATCAGATCTTGAAAAACTCTCAGTTTTTCTGCATTGATAAGGTAAGCTGTGGGCTTTTCACATATGATCTTTATTGCTTTGAGTTTAAGTTTCTTCTATACTTATTTTGTTGAGAGTCTAATCACGAATAGATGTCGAATTTTCTCAAATGCTTTTTCTGTGTCTGTTGAGATGATCATGTATTGCTTTCCCTTTTACTTTGTTGATGTGGTGTATCACATGATTGATTTGTTTACGTCACTTATCCTTGCATCCCAGGGATATATCCCACTTAGTCATGGTGTATAATTCCTTTAATATGCTGTTGAATTGGTTTACTTGTTAATCTTTTGAGGATCTTTAAAACATTTAAAAATGTTTATTTATTCATTTTGAGAAAGAGAGAGAGAGAGCATGAGCATATGGGGAGAGGGGCAGAGAGAGAATCCCAATCAGGCTCTGTGCTGTCAGCGCAGAGCCCAACATGGGCTCGAGCCCACCAACCGTGAGATCATGACCTGAGCCAAAACCAAGAGGTGGATGCTTAACCCACTGAGCCACCCAGATGCCCCTCTTTTGAGCATCTTGAATATATGTTCATTATGGATATTGGTCTGCAGTTTCTTTCCTTGTATCGTCTGTCTGGTTTTGTTATCAGGGTAATGCTGGCCAGCAAAGAATTGATTATACATTACTGGCTGCCTGGAATCTAATTAGGGGTCCACAATTGTCTGTTGAAAGTCTTTAATTTGCAGCTTCTCTATGTGACTTAAAATGTATCATAAACAGAAACTCCAGAATGAATTTATGGCACAGCTTCCCAGACCACAGAAATGAGGGCAACGCTGCACAGTCTCAGAAGTAAAGGATGTTTGAAGAGCATGTCAACACGAGGCTCACTGTGTCAGTTCAGGGTTGAGCTTGGGGAGCCCAGCTCCAGATGAAGCTCTACCTGCTGCTCAGGACCCTTTCCAGGTGGCTGTCAAGAGGCCTAAACAGGCCCTCCTAACAGTTGGAGGAGGGTGTGAGGGGGTCTGGCTATAGTCTCTGTCACTGCAGAGATGACTAGAGTTGATTTGGGTGGGTGGTCTTGTCAGAGTCCTTGTCCTCCCTCAGGGCTCCATATGCCTCATCTGAAGTTGCTTAACTGGTTGCTCAGGCAGGGAGGGGGAGGAGTAACGTCAGGAGCCACCACATAAGCCTCAGGGAGCCCCATTCAACTTTTAGGGGCTGTGCAGCACTTCATTTCTCTCAGATCTCCTGAGCCTGTTTTTCTTGCTCTGTGCTCTGCCCCCCAGCCTCTGAGCCCCTGGCCCCATCCAGTTTGGAGTCTGTGATATCTATCTTCTACCTGCCTTGCCTGCTCTACCCTCCCACATCAAACTCCATTTCCTGTTCCACTAAGAAGTTTCCCCACCTGTTTTTCAATCAAGACACAGTTCTGTTAGTTCCCAATAGTGGTTGCAATGCTTTCTTTTTTTTTTTTTTGCAATGCTTTCTTTTTAAAAGCAATTGACTTTAAAAATTTTTTTGATGTAGTCTCAATAATTTGTTTTTATTTCCCTTGCCTCAGGAGACTTCTCTAGAAAAATTTTGCTATGACTGTTAGTAGGAATGCAAACTGGTGCAGCCACTGTGGAAAACAGTATGAAGGGTCCTCAAAAAATTAAAAACAGAAATAGAGAAAATTAAAAATAGAAATAAGAATTTAGTAATTACACTACTGGCTATTTACCCAAAGAATATGAAAACACTATGGAAGCAGTCCAAGTGTCCATCAATAGATGAATGGATAGAGAAGATGTAGTGTATAGATACAGTGGAATGTTATTCAGCCATAAAAAAGAATGAAATCATGCTATTTGCAACAACATGGGTGGAGCTAGACAGTATAATGCTAAGTGAAATAAGTCAGTCAGAGAAAAACAAGACACTACCATGTGATTTCAGTCATATGTGGAATTTAAGAAACAAAACAAATAAACACAAGGAAAAAATAAGACCTAGAGCGTAGAGTCTGGCCCTGGTCCCTGGAGGCTAGAGTCCTTCCCCTTGTCAAGCTATGATGGGGTAGATTACGTGGAGACAGAAAGAAATGAAAGCCAGAGCATGGTTTGTTCAGAATGGCTCAAAAGGAGCTGCCCTTTGAAGCATGACATTAATACTTGAAAAGAAGCTTTTATTAACTTAATACTGATAGTTTTTCTTTCCACTCTTCTTTCACTTGGGAAAGGGAGATAGAAGAAGTGGGGTAAACAAAAGTTTAAATCCCCAGGTGTCTTCTGCTCCGAAGGTGTGTGATAGGGCCATTTTAGGCTCAGGGCCTAAATGCCAGGATGGAAAATGCCATGAACAAAGGATGTTTCAAGCAGCTCTAAGAGCTACTGTTTCATCCATGAGTTGGATGCTTCCTTTCTCCACAATTTTCTTCATGACCCAATAGTCACTAGCATTTTGTCAACAGTTTCAGTGTCACCCAGGCCCTGTTAAGCCAGCTTCTCCCTTTTTCTCTCTTTTTATTTCTGCTCTGTTGGAAGTTGAAGAAATCCCAAGGAGTTGGAAGCATAAGAAGGAAATGAAGGAATGTGCCTAGCCCATTGGATCCAAGTTTCTTGGACTCCACATTTCACCCAGCAATGAGTTCTTCAGCATCAAAGCTGGGCAGAGAGCTCTGGGTCCACTCACCCCCACCCCCAGGTGTCTCTCTCACAGGGCAGGGAGTCTCCACTCATTCCTCTTACATCTGAACTCACTGGCTTCTCCACTTCACCCCACCCCTCCCACCACCCACCACTCTCTGTTCACTCCAAAGCAGACCCTAGCCCTGATTTCCAATGTACTAATATGAACCTCCGCCACTACCACTACCCACCACTATCAGAACGGCAATGCCTCCCCTCTCATGTCCTGTGGGACACTATCCCATCTCACCAGCTACTTCCACAGCCCCTTCAGCTGTCTAGGATTCTCGCTTCTTCATTTCTTCTCTCATGTGTAAGCACACGTGCATGGCTGAGCTGCCCTGTCCAACTCTCTGCCCATCTGAGTCATAGATGTCTGAAATTTTCTCTTCCCTCTATCTGAGAAATGTGTATTTTGGGATGGAGTCTGAGCAGATGGATTTGGGAGTTTCAGATGCTTACTACACCTGGAAATTGAGGAAAAAGCCCCATAGTACCTGATACTTAGGAAGAAATGGGGCTGGCCTTATGGATGGGGATGAAGAGGCTGAGAAATTTTTTTTAATTAAAATTTTTTTTTTTCTGAGAGAGAGAGAGAGAGACAGCGTGAGCAGGGGAGGGTCAGAGAGAGAGGGAGACACAGAATCTGAAACAGGCTCCAGGCTCTGAGCTGGCAGTCAGCACAGAGACTGATGTGGGGCTCGAACCCACCAACCGCGAGATCATAACCTGAGCCGTCAGACGCTTAAACAACTGAGCCACCCAGCCACCCTGAGGCTGAGGAATTAGCGTAAGCAAATTCACCATTCTGTCACACATGGTCTTCTTGGAGGTGAATGGGAACTAGAAGACGTCATTTCCTGTTTCTCACTTCTTCTCTGGCCCTGTCCTGATCTGCCCTGATCCGACTCCTGATGTCTGATGTGAGGGACAGCTGCAACTGGTATCCTGCTGGCCTTAACCACAGCTTGTGCTTGTCACCCTCCTCTGTTGGTCTGGCCATCACTGATCATGGAATGAGGGTTCTGCGGAAGGGGTGCCTACCTAGAGCACTGATTCTATAGAGAGATCTTCAAATCCTGGACAATGCAAACTAACCATAATTTCCCCTTTCTGATCTTTGACGTTGAAATGCCATTTTGATGACCCCTCTCTGAGAAACATATCCCTCCAAATCACTCCAGAGCACCAAGTACCATTGTCCTCATCATACACACACCTTGATTTCCTTCTCTCTCTGGTGAGACTAGCAGCCCCTGCATGATGTCAGAGCCCCATATCCTTTCTCACAGAGTAGGCCCACATGGAAGGCCCCCTAAGATCATTTCCCTGAGGTAGATTCTCCTAGAATAGCAGCTCTGCACTTACCTGGGGTGTCTCTGCTCTGAACCAAAAGGGAGCTCAGCATCACCAAGAACATCATGAGAGTTGCCATCCCTGAGGCCCAGGTGATCCTCAGGATCCTGGAGCCTGGGAAAGGACGGGGGCTGAGAGACTTGCAGTCAGAGCGTCTCTCAGTCAGTGGGCCTCACTCCTAAAATATAGAGAGCTTGGCAAACCTTCTATAGTCCCTGGGTGTGACCAGAATCTGAAAAAGGAACCAATAAGCAGGAATTGTCACTTACCAGGCAGAAGTTTGGGGTAAAGCACATGATTCTTTAGGGTGTAAGATTCACTGAAGACAGTATAAGGGAAGAGAGTCTCATTTTGAGCAACAGGCTAAGTCATAAGGCTTGATTATTTTATATATTTTCCTCCCTAGGAACATCATCCCTCCTCCATGGTGAACACCATTCCTTATTAAATTAAAAAGTCAAATCATCTTTCTCTTAATGATATTGTTTTGAAATATGTCATTGAAGTTGATCTTGTATTTTTTTATAGGTAGTGACTTTTGTGAATGGATAACTTTTCTTCAAAACTTCATGATGATTCTTAGTATCATACAGGAATTTATTTGTTATGATTGATATTATATTTACCATGTTATGCCTTTGATAATTTTTATATATACCTTTGATAATTTTAGAGGAATTCTTTGATGTTTCCAGGCAGATAAGCAGAAAGCAAAAAACACTTAATTGTTTTATTTCTTTCTTTTAATGTTTTTTTTTTTAAATTTATTTCTGAGAGAGAGAGACTGGGTGATCAGGCAAGGATCAGAGAGAGAGGGAGATACAGAATCTGAAGGAGGCTCCAAGCTCTAAGCAGGCTGTCAGCACAGAGCCCAGTGCGGGGCTTGAACACACAAATCGTGAGATCATGACCTGAGCTGAAGTTGGATGCTTAACCTACTGAGCCACCCAAGCACCCCTTAATTGTTTCATTTCTAATTATTACTCTTTTATTTCTTCTTCATATAGAATGTGGTAATATAAGGCAGCTTTATTTAAATGTTGCTGTTACTGACAATTTCCCTAATCATTTCACATTAAGTCTAATTACATTACATCTTTCCCTGATGTGCTGTTTTTGTTTTTGTTTTTTTTATAGAGGGGTTTGGAACTACACTAAAGGAGAGTGCTACAGAAAGTTACTCTGGTGTTATTGGTAAAACTACAGAATTTATACTAGTGGATCAAATAATACATTGTATTTGATAAAGAATCTCATGAGCTTTGAACCAGTCCTGCATTATAATAATTAACATTTCTTGATCCCTGACTACATGCAAGCCTGTTTTAAGAGATTCACAAATTCTGAGTATCACGTCCCAATTAGATTTCACAATAAGCCAATGGCATAATAATTTCCATTCTTCATGAGAAGAAATAAGTCACAGTGGGCTTTAAAAAAAGGCAGGAAGTAGCAGAAACAGGTTTTTGAAGCCTGTGCCTGACCATTTTGCTATAATGCATCAGAAACAATTTCCTAATAGAAAACTTAAATAATTTTATCTGCTTTTACTCAGTTCATCAATACTTTAAGTACTTAATACATTTATTGGAAATTATATTTGTTTTGTCATTGTCTTTTTAGGTTGTGTGTTCTGAGGGAGTGTATTTCAGGAACCAGCTGTATTGGTTGTTGGATTGTTTGGTGTTTAAAAGTTACCAAAATATATACGCATATTGAACTGAGAAAAAAGAGGATGGTCTTTGATAACTTCATTGGTCTATTCAAAGCTCTCAGATCTGTAAGTTTCTAAAGCATTTTATATGGATGCTTCCATGTCACCCTCACAGAATTAATTACTGATACACAGTGCCACCATCTCCATTTCAAAAATGAAGAAACTGTGGCCCAGAAAGGCCAAATAATTTGTATAAAGTGGTACAGTTACTCCCATGCTTTATCTGCTACTATAACCCAGAGACCCTTAGTCAATCCTCTTTCTGCTTCTAAGATCTACAGAACCGCTGAGAGGAGAAAATACACACCACACACTTTGTGTGACTGCTTGTACAGCTCCCAGGACTAATTCTGAGTTCTGCAATGGATAGTCTAACCCTCTAAATGGTTAACACACTGCTTAGGACTTGTACTGTTCCGGAACATGTCCATGCAAGGGGGAGGGTGTTCACCGTGGAGAGAGCTTTAAGTAGGATCCCATGTCCAACGAGGGGCTTGAACTCACAACTCTGAGATTAAGAGTAGCATGCTGTATTGACTGAGCCATCCAGGCAAAGAGGAAGATGGTTATGATGTCTCTTTTATAGTTTTCTTTCTCTTATTCCCAAATCCCACATAGGTTGGGACTTTCCGAGCCACCTTGGATCTGACAGCTCTCCCACTTCCTCTCCCAGTGGTTCTCTCATTTTCTTCCCCAGCCAGAGATGCCCCTTATGACATTTTTTGGTTGAGTTGTTTCACCTCCACCCTTTCTTCCTCAACGGAATAGGGAAATAAGTTCTGGATTCAGAGCTCCACCTTGCCGTGCACTGCCTCATTTTCTCCTCACTGTCTGGCTCACAACAGTCACTGCAGATGCACCTTAAAGACATAAGGAGACAGACCCAAGTCATGATGCTGCAAGTCATCTCCCTGGCTGGCCTTCTGAGCTCCCATGGAACTGGGGCCATCAGGGGTGAGTGCTCTGGTGGGCCAGAGAGGGTGTAGACTATAAGGAGATTTGTAGCCCACAGGTGCTGTTTTCTCTCCTATTTCTCTTCTTCCTTCTTCTTCCTACTATATGAGGTCTTTTGCTTTTTTTCTTTCTGACAGCAGTAAAAACCTTTGTTTATTGAATACTGAGCAAATGCCAACTCTCATTTCATTTTCACAACAACTTTTACAGGAGTGCATTTATTATTCTGGAAATGAAAAGGCTGAGATATGAGACGTCTCATGAGCCCCATGTCACAGTGTGAAGAATCTCTCTCTGTTTTAAATTTCAGAGGTAAACTTCTTGAAATTGGAGTCTGCAATGTCTGCTTTGGACTTTCCTCTGTTTCTCTCAGTCCTCAGCCCACTGCATTCTCTCTTTTGTCTCCTCACATCTCTGATGCTGCTCTCAGTGAGGCCATTAGTAGCCTCCCTACAACCAAAACCAGTGGTCACTTCTCCATGTGTATCTTACCTGTGTCATTAGTAATATTTGCAATGTGACCACTTCCTCCTTCCTGGAATTTTTCTCTTGTTCTTTGTCTTGAGGTGCACACTTCCTCTTTGTTTTCTTTTTCTTCCTACTCATTAGTCCTCTCCTTTGCAGCTTCTTTTTAAAAATATTTATTTAAGTGATCTCTACACCCAACATGGGGCTTGAACTCATGACCCCGAGATCAAGAGTCACATGCTCCTTTGACTGAGCCAGCCAGGTGCCTCCAGCCCCCTTTTTGAATGTCGTATTTGCTAGGACACAAGATCACACACTCTGACCCTGCTATGATGACTTTGTACACATCTTGGGTGACCCAATCCAAGCTTATAACTTCATCTACCATGAGGACTCCTAGTCTAGGTCACTAGCCCAGTCTAGCCTGAGATCCATCCATTATTTTAACTGCCCTCAAATCAACTCCACTTGGTCACCCAGAAATTCAAACCCATTATGTCCCCAGAAGGATATTTTATCTTCTCTCAATCACTTTCTTGTCCTTCGTTACTTTTTCAGTCACTGATGCCACAATTCTCCATATTGCGTGGGTATTCTGGACTCCTTCGTATCCCTGTTTCCACCACAGCATTTACAGATTCCTGTGGCTTCTCATCTCTTCAATGCCATTCGCACTCATCCTCTCTTATTCTTACCCTATGTTACTGCCCCATCTACACCTTCATCACTTGTCACCCAATTGCTGAAGAGTCCTACTTGTCTTGCTTACAAATGAGCCTCCTCCAACCCATCATCCCTCCAGCTGCCACTTTCAAGTACAAATCTGATTGTGTTACTCTCTTAAGACCCTTTAATTATTTTCCAGGGTCTCTGGATCAAATTCAAACACCTGCAATTATCATACAAGTCAGATCCCAACATAGCCCTCCACACCCTCTGAGCTCTAGTCATATCCAAGGACCTACAGTCCTCCAAGAAGTCCCATGCCTCTCTGCTCCTATGTTTCCTGCTAGAGACACCACTTCTCTCCATCTCTGCTTGGCTAACCTCATATAAAGACCGTCTTTAGGAAGCCTTACTTCAATCGCATTTTAATGCTCTCCATTTGCTCCCAAGCAGCACCTGTGTATACCCTGTGATAACACATAGTGATGACCACATATATACTAATTGTCTTTGTCTCTCTCATTCTTTGGATCTCAAACAACTTGAGGACAAAGACCATGTCATTTGAGTTATAGCTTTAGTGCCTAGAAAGTGAAAATTCACAGTAAAGTCCTTTTTGACTGAATGAAAGGAAACATCTGTAAGAGTATAATTTACTTCACAATGCACAGTGGATCCTGTCACTAAAAGCATATAAGAAGAGGATTAGTTCTTCTCATGTTGGAGCTGGAGGGCAAATCTTTGAATCTTTGATTCTGGAGTTAGACCAGTGAGCCCCAGAGTGTCACTTCCTCCTAATTCCTTTCCTTTTCTCAGCCCCAAACTGCCTCATTTTTATTGTTCTACTGTAATACTAATATATTTTTTGTTGTTGTCAATCTTTTGCTCTTTCTTACACATCAGGTAAAACTAAGATGCTATCCCATAGGTGTTTCAAATGCAACAACTTCTATTTCCAGTGGAAACTACCCTTAAAAACATAAAGTCAACAAGGACATTTGTGAATGTTGTGTGAATGATAATACTTGAAAATTTAATATGCCTTAAATAAAAGCATTGTGGACAAAGTTACATGACCTACCATTTTATTCTAAAGCCAAAAAAGTAACTAAAAGTCTGTAAGTAACACTAAGACTCTGGACATCTTTTCATTTCCTTCACAATTTAAAAAACTTTCCACTCTGGAAGATTTTTATTCCACTCTCCCTTCTGGGACTTTATCATTAACTTTATATGTCTGCTCCTGCAAGGATTCTGAGATGTTGTGGGTGTGAGTGGAGAGGATGATTCAATCCAATCTTTCTTCTACCAGGAATCGTGCTACCTTGGGCTTGTTATTTAACCTCTATGGACAGGTCCCTAATATACAAAAGAATGCTTTACCTGGGGCATGAAGTTGCAAAGAATAAATTGAATGCATAATAAGTCCTCCATAAATATTACCTTATTATTATGTCCAGGGTCATGATTCTTGTACTGGAGTGATAGATGCTTAAATTTTTGAGAATAAAGGGAAACAAACTGAATTTTCAGTAAGTCGTTTCTCTCATTGTTTCTTCCTATTTCTTTTCTTTCAGTTTGCAGTTCTCATTTTCTGTGTTCTTCATTCATGTTATTACTATTTCCTTATCTCCTTGCTTCCTGTGTTCTGTTTACTGTCTTACATAGTCATCTGTTCTCCAATCTCGCTTCTTCCTCTTCATGCAGTGGGCCACGTGTCAACGTATGTCGAGTTTGTCCAGACACACACACCCTCTGGGGAGTATATGTTTGAGTTTGATGAGGATGAGCAGTTCTATGTGGACCTGGATAAGAAGGAGACCATCTGGCATTTGCCAGAGTTTATTCATGCCTTCAACTTTGATGCTTGGAGGGGTATTGGCAACATTGTCATGGCAAAGAAGAACTTGAACACCCTGATTCAACGGTCCAACCACACCAGGGCCACAAATGGTACTGCTTGCTCTTGCTTATTTCTCTACTGCCCAACTGCAGGGATGGGAGGGCCCATCTGCTGCATAGAGAATGGGAGACCTAGATGCCCACTCATGAATGAACCTCTCCCCATGAGCAAGCAATATTTAGCTTACAAAGCTGGGTGCTTATGTCATCAAAGGAGACACTTTCTTCTTATTCAAGAAAAAGGTTGGGCTGAGGGAGGCCAGTCAAGAGTTGGGAAGCTATGACTGACCTGGAAGCCTGTGGGGGGGGGGGGTAGCAAAGAGTCAGCCTGAGGGAGGTGGCCCCTAACTGGGAGAATATAGGTGCTGGGGTGGTGGGGTCCTTTGAGATTCAGTCAAAGGCAGCAGATTCACCAGGTTCTGTCCCTTCTCAGAGACTCCTGAGGTGGCTGTGTTTCCCAAGGAGCCTGTGGAGCTTGGACAGCCCAACACCTTCATCTGCCATGTGGACAAGTTCTTCCCGCCTGTGCTCAATGTCACATGGCTGCATAATGGGCAGATAGTCACCAGAGGTATAGCTGAGAGCATCTTCCTGCCCAGCACAGAATTCAGGTTCCACAAGTTCCACTACTTGACCTTCATTCCCATGGCCGAAGATGTCTATGACTGCAAGGTGGAACACTGGGGTCTGGACCGGCCTCTCCTTCAGCACTGGAGTATGGAGCCCCCACCCTTTGCCAGCACTGTACTGACACCATCTTTATATCCAGGATCCATCTTTCCACAGTATCTGCTTTCCTTAATTCCATGTGTTTTATTTCCACTTTATCCAAATTTCACCGCTGATCTCATTGTTTCTAATTCTTCATACTCCCAAACCTGAGGCCAGCTCCTGCTCTCTGCACTTTCTAACTCTAGTTTTCCTCCATGCACCAGAGGCCCAGGAGCCGATTGAGATGCCTGAGACAATGGAGACTGTGGTCTGTGCCCTGGGCCTGGTGGTGGGTGTGGTGGGCATCATCCCTGGCACCATAATTCTGAAGACCAGGTGGCCCTACAGCATCCCTGGGTGCAGAGGCCCTGGTGAGTCATCCCAGAGCTGGGGGTACTAGGGACACAGTGCAAAAGAGAAGGCAACATGGTATGGGTAGTGGGAGGGAAGGAAAAACACTTTAACAGGAGTTCCTTGAAAACTTTGCATTTCAGAATCACTGACCTAGATTAAAACAATACAATGATAAAGAACATCAGTTGAGTTGCTTACTATTTACTAAGCGCTATTCTATAAGCTTTTTATGTTTTCACTTATGTTTAGAGGTTGGTACCATTATTTCTCCATCATATAGAGTGGGAAGCAGACATGAGGAGGGTGAAGGAATCTGTCCAAAGTCACACAGCTTTATAGGTACAGAGTCTGGATTTGAACTTGGGCATTGGGGTTC